GTGTTGCTCTGTGAGTGTTAGTGAGTGGGAGAGAGATCGAGACCGTCAAACAGAGTTACCGACACACATCCAATAAGAAACATCACTATTGTGACTATCGTGTGTGTGAATTTCTTGCTTGAGTTTCTCTTTTAAGGAAGGACACACACCGGCGTACGTGTTGGCGAGATTGAGCAGCTCCATGCAGGCGTGCAAATCGGCGAAGGCAAGGATACCGAGGCAGTTGGTTGGGTGAAGTTGAGTTATGAGAAACTCGCAGCAGGCCTTTTTAACTTCCTGTAGCTGCAGCAGACCAGCGGCGGGCAAGAGCACCTAAACACACACACACACACACACACACAAACACACAGAGAGAGAGAGAGAGAGAGAGAGAAAGAGAGAAAAGACCTCAAAAGAGCCCTTCAAAAAATTTGTCTGCTGTATTTTTCCTTGTCCTGGCAAGAATTTTACATGCATTAAGGTAATTTTTCTAAATGGTGCTAAACTGTTTAAAACATCAAAAAAATGTAGTTCAGTTATTAGTTCAATAACCATTTTTTCACATTGAACATCCTGTTTCACTCAAAAATACTTACGTTTACATACATAAAATGGTTTGCAAATGTCATTTTTTGACTTTAAGGAAGCTGTTTTTAACCCTCTGGTGTTGTTTGGTCATTTTGGACAGAAAGTCTGTTTTGGTTTGGTATCGTCTTTTTTTTCTCTCTTCATTAGAATGCTATAAATCTTGGTTTTGGCACTTGCTAAGTGAACACACACACACACACACACACACACACAAACACACAGAGAGAGAGAGAGAGAGAGAGAGAAAGAGAGAAAAGACCTCAAAAGAGCCCTTCAAAAAATTTGTCTGCTGTATTTTTCCTTGTCCTGGCAAGAATTTTACATGCATTAAGGTAATTTTTCTAAATGGTGCTAAACTGTTTAAAACATCAAAAAAATGTAGTTCAGTTATTAGTTCAATAACCATTTTTTCACATTGAACATCCTGTTTCACTCAAAAATACTTACGTTTACATACATAAAATGGTTTGCAAATGTCATTTTTTGACTTTAAGGAAGCTGTTTTTAACCCTCTGGTGTTGTTTGGTCATTAGTGGACAGAAAGTTTGTTTTGGTTTGGTATCGTCTTTTTTTTCTCTCTTCATTAGAATGCTATAAATCTTGGTTTTGGCACTTGCTAAGTGAACACACACACACACACACAAAACTATGGACAAGATTCGAAAAGGTTAAATGGTCCTGAAACAAATGGTCACACTTGTATTGTTTGCGGTCAAAAGTGAATTTCATCTAGTAGAAACATTTGGTGCTCAACCTCACATTTGGAACACAACTTGTTTAGATTTATGGCTTTGATTTTCTTGCTGTTTTAGAGTAGAATGTGTGTTGGAAAATAGATTTTCATATACAATTTTAAAATAGTATTTTTGTGCATTTTTCATAAGAATAAATTGAAACTTCTATAACTTGTTTTTTAGCTTCACTTTTGCAACTTTTTTCACTTCAGCAATAATCTGCCTAGTGCTTTCTTTAAAAAGAGACCAAACTTAAGTCTGTGCTCCAAAGCATTCAAGATTTGCGACAGTTTAAACTGGAAATTTCATTTTTAGGTCTATGCTCTAAAAGTGGTTAACAGATCATAACTATGTCATAAGTATTATTTAGTACCATAAAATCCCTTAGAAACACAAAATATTAAATGAAAAACATTATCAAACTCAAATATAGCACACTGTTTTAATAAAATAAAAAAGGTCATTTTTGAACGCCACCTGAACAACACCAGAGGGTTAAGCCTCTCACGCCACTAAATGTTGTATCAAGTTAAAAGTAGACCAAGTTGCATTTCATCTGGCAGTCAACTAGTCCTGGGTCATTCTTACTGTTAAGCCTTGCATCAAAGTTTGAATTTAAATCCATTCCTGAAAACAATTCGGCCTCATTTTAACACCCTCCGTCTAGTCAACTGTGCAGACACAGACACCCACCCACACAACACACACACACACGCACGCACGCACGCACGCACACTTCCTGGATGTGATTTTCTGTGCTCTCAGAGTAATACCAAATAACATAACATAAAAAGAGTACAGATTCAGTCAACTGTGTTTTTAGGCCATGCTTTCATAGCATACAAAAATGAAACGTGGCGCTCCAGTCCCCCACACACGCGGTTACCTGCACATTCTCCTCTGTTACTTGGATCTCAGCAGTGTAAACATAGTCGATCAGCATTTCCAGAGTCCAGCCGTCAATCTCTTTGATTCGAACCTTCTTCTGACGGCTCTCGGTCATCTCTCCTACAAACACAAATATTCACAAAATATTTCATGTTGAATATTATACAAGATAAACAATTTATTTTATATAAAAAAAATTGATATATATATATAAATGTAAACATTTTGCACATAACATTAAATACAGTACATTTAAGCACAACTAAATGTACAGTACAATAGCAATAAATGCAGTAATAACCAAGTTAACTTAAAAGTCAATAGTCATGTCTGGGGTGCTGGAGGCAGGAGAAACATCTCTACATGTTGAAGAGAAACGCAGAGAACATCAAATTTGCTGCCTAGCTTTTATCTCCGTGTCATTATTTTCAAGAGACTTTGCATCTTTAGCTCCAAAGATTATTGTTAGCGGAGTAAATATTACATGAATTAAAAGTGAAACAATCACTGTATGAAAAATGTATTTATAAGCCTCAACAGATAACATCGGGCAGTGACTCATTTCAATTCCTCATCATGAGATCAAAGATTTTCATATTTGGCTTTTGATTTTTTTTTGTAAATACACATCCAAACATAAGAAACATGTGTGAGAGACATTTTTTTAAATTCCCAGACTATTCCCATATTCCAGCAGCAGATGGCCGGCCCTAATGTGACCCTCCGTTGTTGTGAATGTGTGTGTGTTAGTGTGTACTCACCTGTAAACATAGCGTGGAAGTATGGACACCCCGCGGCTAAGACGACTCGATGAGCAGCTATCTCCACATCCTCCGCAATGATGGTGACATCACACAACACACTCTGACTGCAGAGAGAGGAAAGATTTCATACACACTGATCACTTCTCACACACAGCGGTCACACAAAGGATTTGGACAAAATATCTGACATTATAATATTATATCATATAAATATTAAACATTACAAAACATCAAACCTAGCAGCATCTGCAAATACAGGAAGTAATATCTCAGACCTAACTTCACTTCTTTTGAGCAGTTTTGCAATAGTTTTAAAGCAACTGGTGTCATGATGATTTTAGTGGATGTATGAAGTCAGTTCTCCTCACACAGATGTCCTAGCAAGCGTAATTCATCACATTAACTGCTTAAGGTCATGTTTAACAATATGAGTGTCTCAATACATTTTTTCTTAAATTATATTTTCAACATAAGATACGCATGTTTGTAAGGCAACTACTATATTCCAGCAGCTCTGACTGGATGACCAGCCTAATGAGTGACCTTTAACTGGTTTGTCTTTATTTCGACCAATATATCTATTGCTTTATATTTTGAAACCCAAAACACTTCATATTTCTGAAATGTTTAGCTTGAAAAGTTTGAGGTCGATTTTTGAAAACAGAAATATTGTAAAAAACTCTTACCATTTTAATATATTAATAAAATGTAATATATTCCTGTGCTAAAAGCTGAATTTTCAGCATCATTGCTCCAGTCTTCAGCGTCACATGAGCTTCAGAAATCATTCTAGTATGCTGATTTGCTGCTCAAGAAACATTTCTGATTATTATCAATGTTGAAAACAGTTGCTGCTTCATATTTTGTGGAAACTGTGATACATTTTTTCAGGATTCTTTGATAAATAGAAAGTTTTGAAATAGAAAGTCTGTGGCAACTGTATTAATATAACTGTGTTACAGCAACAAATAACATTTTAATACACTCACTGCAAAGCCCAGTCATAATTCACTCAAGTTCAAAAAAAATTCTGACTTTGTTTTCTCATCCTCATGTCATTCCGAAATTGTGAGACTTACTTTTTTTCCTGTAGATCACCAAATGGGATAGTAGGCAGACTAGTTAACCTCAGTCACCACTCACTTTCATTGCATCTTTGTTTTGTTTCTTAATACAATAAAAGTGAATACTGGCAGAGTGAGCTGTCATTCTGCCAACATCTTCCACAGATGAACGTAATGACAGAATTTTTATTTTTAGGTTAATTATCCATTTAAGAGCACACACATAAAAAGCAGTGTTATTAAGAGGCACTGCATGATTTCTACCAGTATCTCACACACACACACACACACACACACACACACCTGCGGAGCTCGTTCATGATCCTGAAGGCTTTCCTCATGTGACGTGGATTGATTGTGACCGCACTCTGTTTCTCACACACATCATCCTTCAGCTCCACAGCTTTATGGTGGCAAAGCTTAGTGCATCTAAAACACACACACACACACACACGTTGGTATTGGTGGTTTATGGGGACTCTCCATAGGCGTAATGGTTTTTATACTGTACACACACTGTATTTTCTATCGATCTACACCAACCCTACCCCTAAACCTACCCATCACTGAAAACTTTGTGCATTTTTAGATTTTCAAAAAAACACCATTTAGTATGTTTTTAAGCCTTTTGAATTACAGGGACACGGGAAGTGTCCTCATAAACCACCTTCATATCGTAATACATGTGTCATATACCCATGTCATTATACAAAGTTGTGTTCTCATAAACCACACAAACCGGTGCAGTACCATTACACAAGAAGTGACCATACGGCAATTATCAATTCCTAAACATGTGACATAAAGAGTGTTGGAGGTGTGTGGCCAAAGACAGAATGATGTAATGTGATCTTATGGCTGAACAGATGTACTCTGTATTGACATTACAGTAGTGTGAACACATGCAGGTCTCTCTCTCACACACACACACACACACACACACACCTCTTACAGTGGATGTATCTCCATAGCGCTGGTTCTGTTCACATCAGTCTGCGTCTCTTCATCTCTGGTCGGGCTCTGTCGTTTAAATCCCCGCTGTGTCCCGTCCACCGAGCCGAGCCGAACCGGGCTGGACCGAGTCCTGGTGTGCGGGTCCAGCTCCGCTAATGAAAATCAAAAAGCCAGTCGGCCTCAGAAACTCTTTCAATGTGACTGACGTGCCCGAATAACGAGCGACAGACAGGTCCGTTGTGTGGGTGAAGACAGGACACATCCAGAGACTGAGACGCTACAGCTGAGCTCACACACAAAAACAAGAGTGAAGCGAAGACTAACACTCTCCTTCGGCGAAACACAAAAACACGCGCGTCCCTACAGCGCCCCCTACTGCCGGAAGACCGAATGACAGGCTGCCGGGCAACGTGCGTTTGGTTACATCTCCGAGCACAACAATGTCTTAAAGAGGATATCCTGTTTCTAATTCTTTCATATGATTCATTATTATTATACATTGGGATCAGTACGATTTGTTTATTGGTTTTGAAAGAAGTCTATTATGCTCAGCAAGCTTGCATTTAATCAAAACTACAGTGATATTTGAAGATACAGTAATAACAGAAATATTGTGAGATTTTATTATATATTAAAATAACTGTTTTCTATTTTATGCATTTTAAAATGTAATGTATTCCTGTGATGGAAAGCCGAATTGTCAGCATCATTACTCCGGTCTTCAGTGTCCTTCAGAAATCATTCTAATATGCGGATTTGCTGCAATCTAAATAAAGGTGACTTCATCAAATACTCACCATCCGGCTGTGGTCGTCGTGGTGACTGGCAGTAGTTGTATGCTGGCAACCTACTGGATGGGTGTGGTGGAGGAGGATCACATGACCTTTTAAGGAATCGAGATCTCTGCAGAGCCGCTGTGTAGTCTGGTGGGCGTCGCCCATGTGCATGACTGTGGCTGTCTGCCTCAGCCAATGACAGCGCAGTATAACCAGGTGGCGTGGGCGGCGGCTCTCTAAAACGTCCCTCTCTCCGACTCGCAGCGTTCTTGTTTGCGTTTGGAGTCTCGTCTTTTCCACCTCTGCGTTTTATCGTTCCCGTGTCTCCTTCCAATTCATCGCCCCAGGAACCAGTAGGTGTGGTCATGTGACTACGTCCCATCCCTTCTGACAGAGTCTCCCAGCTGCGGCTGTCATAATAACCCACACGCTGTGGAATGCTCTGGATGTTGTCATGGGAACCACTGGAGCAGGAAGTCCAGCTGCCACGGCCGCTGTCTGCTGCGTCCAGTGATGCACGGTCACACTGATCCGGAGTCAAGGAGTAGGACCTGAGAGAAAGAAACATAGAAAGACTTTAGAAATAAGGTACGAGACTAATTGTATTGACTGATCAACATTCATAATATTTTTGTACTTTATAGGTACTTGTATACATCTATGCATATAAAAGCCCTTACCCCAGGCTTATCTGGTCAGGTTCAGCTCTGCGCGTGCCGAGTGGGTTTGCAAGCGTATGGGGTTGATCAACCATGATGAGGTCAGAGGAGGAGGAGCTTAAACTCAACTGATCCGATGCGTCACTCACCACTAACTGTGGGCCTATGAGAAAAACAAGCATAAATAACCAAACAATTAAATACTTCCGAAAAGGTCTTACTCTTTAGAAATGTGAATCGGAGTTCATTTTGAACTGATTTGATTCACAATTAATTGCTTTCCGATTTCAAAAATTCCATTCAACACATTTGAAACAAACATGCATTTCTTGCTAATTAAAACATCACGCATTACAAAAACTCTATTAGAAATATGTATCTATAAGTGCACATTGCATAATAAAGTAAAATTAGATAACTTTTTAAAAATAATGCAATATTCAATGTGATACGATAATCATAAGTAAATCAATTCAAATGAAAACATATTCAAAAACTGAAAATTATATTATAGATGCTCCAAACAGAATTGAACAATTTCATGTCAACCTGATCAGCTGATACTGTTTTCTAAAGCTAGTATAATTAGCGGTGTCATAACTTGGTATAATATTTAAATATTATATGCTAAGTTAACAAAAACTTGATTGAAACAAATTGATTTCATAGCATTTTAAAACAGATAATGCAGTTACCTTAAAACAGTAAACAGAAATCACTGCATCAAAAACTCATATTATTACATACAGATTTCAATACTGAATTGCACTTTATTTTGCAGTATGTGCACTAACAGTGTATTTAAACAAGAAACGACTGAGTAAAATAAGGGAAATACTTGGACTAAAGTTAGGTTACAATCAAGATTAGTTCATATTTGTTATAGTAAAAACATAGTACAAACATGCAGAAACAGAGTTCTTCAACTGATTCAATAGACATGATCAGTAGATACCTTTTCTAGGTGTGCTGTGAGGTGAGGTGCGTGGAGAGGAGAGCAGAGATGAAGCACTTGACTGGCTGTCCTCAGGCGGCTTTCGCGGTCTGTCCCGCCCCTCTTCTGAGAGAGACAAAATCTTATGGAGAGACTGAGGAGACTGGGCACCTACAGACACAAAAACCTCATCTCACTACAGTACAAACAAGACTTACGAGTCACCAGCAGAGGGCGCTCTAATGAAACCAGAACTCGGATCATTCGGATAGGTATAGCTCTTACCAAATGGTGGTAACTCTTTGCCAAGTGATTTCTTGCGACCATGATTTCCATTCGTTTGCTGTGGAGTGGTGCTTCTTTGACCGACAGGAGATACATCCACTCGTCTCCTCTCGCCTGAGTTCTTCAGCACTGAAACCACAAGCACACACACATTCAACTATAACAGGCCCATTATATGTAACAAAACGAAGTTTTGGCTATCTATTTATGAAACAAAGCTATTTATTTGTACTTGCATGTTCTTTCAATTCTAGATCACTCGTATAAGAACCTAGTCTTAGTCTCTAAAATGCTATTCATCACATTTTGGTGTTTATACTTATATTACTTATTGTTTATATACTGTGTATATATATATATTTTTTTTCCCCCCCCATTTATAGCCTAAATAGCCAAAACACATGCATTATTATATTAATAATAATAATAATAATACAATGTAACAATTTTGTTTCACTTTTTTATGGTTCTTCTGTAATTCCGTGGAGCTAATTTTTATTGTACTATTTATTTTCATGTAGCATCGATATTTTGGTAAATATTTAGGTCAGGTAAATTTTTAGAACTTCTATCATTAATTATGAAACAATGGTTTAGTACAGATAAGTTTTTGTACTATTTTTACATGCTGTTTTAAATATTTGTGACCCTGGACCACAAAACCAGTCATAAGGGTCCATTTTTTCGAAATTGAGATGTATACATCACCTAAAAGCTGAATAAATAAGCTTTCCATTGATGTATGGTTTGTTAGGATAGGATCATATTTGGCCGAGATACAACTTTTGAATATTTGAAAATCTGGAATCTGAGGGTGCAAAAAAATCTAAATATTGAGAAAATCGCCTTTAAAGTTGTCCAAATGAAGTTCTTAGCAATGCATATTACTAATCAAACATTTAGTTTTGATATATTTACAGTAGGAAATTTACAAAATATCTTCATGGAACATGATCTTTACTTGATATCCTAATGATTTTTGGCATAAAAGAAAATTTTTTGGCTATTGCGACAAATATACCCCAGCGACTTAACACTGCTTTTGTGCTCCAGGGTCACATTTTGCAAGGATGGGAGCATTCCAGAAGTTTCTGTAACATTCTGGAATATTCTAGTGCTTTCTGGAACGTTCCAGAACATTGGACCACTCACTTTTGCTAACTGTTTATGTCAAACTGTTGTTGTTAGCTCAGTATTATGTATTACATGCACCATGCAATTTTTATGCATGAGCAACAACAGATAAGCTTGTGTAAGTTGTCAACATACAGTATATATTTTTTCATGATACACAAAAAGTAATGTGATCTTTGTATTCGGCATGTCAAACGTCATAAAGAAACATTACAAATAAAATTTCAAAAGACTTTCATAAAAAAGCTAAACTTATTTTTTTTGCATAAACTTTTACTGTTGCATTGATTCCTTGGGAAATCTCAAGAAGGCAACTGTGAACATAAAAAGACAACTAGCCATGGATAATCAATTACTTTTGATCTTATCACAATAATCAATGAAAATAAAAAGGCAAGGTGATAGTTTTCTATAAATGTGTGTGAGACTCACTGGAGCTGTTGGCAGGCTCACACTGCAAAGAGAGTTTGTGGAGCTTGTCCTCATCGCTCTCGTGTGCGCGCGCGTCCAGGTACTGCCGCACACGTCTGCTCATCATCTCCACCTCATACAGCTTCTTAGCACTGAGAAAAGAGCTCCGCCTCCCCTTCCTCTTCCCGCCCATCGTTCCGATGTCAGAGAGAGAAGAGCTGCTCACCTGACTTAGAGACCTACGCACATCAGAACAAAAGACACGGTGAACGCTAAAGGCAACAGGTCATTATTGAACACGTTAGCAAGACAACTAGATAAAATCAGAATTATGCTGGGGAATTAACATGGCCATTTTTAACATGCAGAAAGAAAGGAATTGAGATGAGTGACTATTTTAGACATCTACAGGATAATGAAATATCTACATGTAATCAGGTACTCATTCTGCAACTAAGCAGTCTGCTATTAAAACAACCAATCAAATTATTTACAAATGATTTTCTTTTGCACTAAACAACCAGTACAAACTGTAAATAAACTAAAACTGAACTATTATTAAAAAAACAAACAAAAAAAAAAAACACTTGCAACCACTGTGCTGGCAGAAGGTTGTTGATATTAATTTTTTAATACCTCCTTTTATATATATATATAGAATTAGATTATACATGCATTTTTTAATTCAAGCCGCAGATGTGTGCATTTAAAAAAAATATTGATGTTTTCATTAATGCATATTTAATTTTTTGTATTTTTTTTTTTTAAGAAGATCATTTAAAACTGGTATTGGTAATGTAACGTGTAAAATAAAACAAAAAAAAATAATTAAATGTACATTTTAGGGTACTCCACTACAATATTCCTACTTTAGTAAAAACACATTTATACAACCATATAAATCATTGTAGAAAACATTCATAACAAAAATGCATGCCTTTTTAGAGGATGACAATAAGAATTTAGGAGAAGGAAGTCAAAGATGTGATTTCACATACGTAGTGCAACTAAAACAACTTACCAAAGGAAGTGTTAGTGTGGTTTAGTATATGACAGCAAAAAAAAAAAAAAGACAGTTAACAGAAAAAGTGAAAGAAAGAAAGAGTAGCAGTCCCACTTACCCAAGGCTTCTCCACTTTTTCTTCCTAAAACAGAGAGTCATGAAGAGCCAAAGAACAAGAAAATTAAGGGATTGAGTAAGAAGAGACAAAAAGACACTAGTGCTTAGACAGTGAAGCCCACAGAGCAAAACAAGAAGTCCAGTAAGACACCAAGCACACAAATGACTGTGATCAGAAACTCATCAGCAATGGATATCCGCCACTGTGCAAGAGACTAGCTTGGTTTCAGTTCAATAAAGAAAACGCATTATGTATGTATATTTATGCTTTATGTCGAGTCACACTAATTGTGTGGCATGCACTTGCCCGTGTAGTGCATTTCGAATCGGCCACTAATAAGGTTGCATTTCCTGTGCAGGTAGTGACACAGCTCAGCAAGTTTTGAAAAACAGCTTGTGTGACTGTAATTACGCTTTTATCTCAAGGTTTTATTGATGTTGTGAGTTCTTGTGTATGAAATATCATTGCTGAATAAGTTTACACTTTGTAGGTGTACCTCATTTTAAAAAGCAATGCAGGGTCCATGGTGACGGAAGCCATTCGAACCACGTGTCGGATCTCTCGCGCAATCATCCTCAACTTCTCAAAATTCACCAGACCGTCCACCTTGGATTTGTTCCCTATAAGCACACGTTTAACAGATTCAGATTTCATTTTCAAACCAAATTCAAAGTTATGAGGCAACAGGAACAGAGAAAGGTGTAAGTCACCCTCGTGGAGGAAAGTGAGGTCTTTCTTAATGACAGGAAACAGAGGGATGACCGGCGGCTGCAGGTTGTGTTTGTTGAGGAGGTTGCGGTATTTGGCCATGTTGCGAGAAGGGTCGAAAACATCTTGTAATTCTGCCAAAAGCTTCTCATATTTTCCAGGCAACCGTTCCCATGTGGATCGCAACCGAGAGACAGGTGCTAGATTGAACCCACTGCAAAAGATACACAGAAGAGAAGAGAGAAGAGAAGATGACAATTCCAAGCATTTGCAGGAACAAACTTGACGGATTTATGCAAGAAACAAAAGCACATTGACATGTTTGTATGGTGAGAAGCACACATCTAAAAAGATCGCATCCCTATATTGTATAAGCTTTTTTTAATTATTATTAGACAACTGATTCAATTCAAGTTTTGACAGTGCTGTTCTTCACCAGTTTTCTGAAAATGAAGCATTAAATAATAATTTTATATAATGCATAACATATTTATCATTATATAGTAACATATCAACAATAAATAAATATTTATAAATAAATAAATTATATAAATCACAATAATTGTTTTAAAAAATAATAAATAAATAAATAATAATTTTCACAACAATTATCATCATCAACAACAATATTATTATTATTGGTGTGTAAACTGTCTTGACACTGTAAACTAAAGCCCCAGCAATAACGATGCATCCAAACAACATGATTGGCATCGCAACACTACTTGGTGTTATACTGTGAAACATAATAAAGGAATCATGATAACACTAACAGACACATAAACTCTACCTGATTATGGCAAACATAGAGTTGAAGTTCTTGCAGTCACGGCAGTGAAGGGCAATCTTTATAAATACTTTCAAGATGGAGATGAGAACTTTCCATAAGTCTGTTTTTATCCACAAGTGACAGATTATCCATGGTGATGCCATCAGCGTGAAAACATTGCCACTGACTCAAGTTTGCAAAAATGAATCATTGATGTACAAGAACAATACTATACAGCGCTGAAAAAAATCAGCAGAAAAGAGAAGTCAGTAAGTCAACTAGAAAAAAACTAGACAGGCAATTACGTAAGACAGGTATCTATGAAGACGAACTGCTATCTAGAGAGACGAGTGGAACTACACGAGAGGTGTCTAAAAAGACGAGCAGAACCGCAGCAGTGCACAAATACTCACGAGTAAATCCAGGTGCTGTGAGCAAGGAGAGGGTTGCGGGATCATTAGTACAACGGCACAAATATAACAAAAGGAAAGCAGGAACACAAAAAGCAGCAGTAGAGCGGAACGCATTTATGAGCAGAACAAAATGTAAGTTCACAAGGTGCTATGCAAATAAGTTCTTGTCTCAACATTGAATCATTAAATTTTTTACATTTATATATTTATATCATGGTCTGTCTGAATACTCGATTCGCTGGCAGATATGAGAGAGAGAGAGAGAGAGAGAGAGAGAGAGAGAGAGAGAGAGAGAGAGCGCTGTGCAAACACAGAAACTTGTCAGCAATGCCCCGCAACTTTTATTAATAAAATGGGCAATATATTGAATCGCCACATATTACTCAGCAACGAGGTGATAAAATCGCTGTTTTTTAAGTAAATAAAAAAGCTTCATTGTTTGTAGAGAGAGACGCAGGTAATTCACACACACACAACTGTAATCTCTCTCGGTCAATTAATTCAAATAAATGTAGTCTTACCGCACTATTACATCTCTGTGTGTGATTTGAAGAGGGCAGAATGCTAGAGCTAATGAGCCGTAACTGACGAAAATAACCATCATTTTTACCAATTCGGTCAAATATTGTGCTGCAAACTGTTTTAACTTGTCAATGCTGGCAAATGACCATGGTATAAGCAGGATAATGCACAGCTAGCCATGCATTATCCCTTACATATAATTATTATTACAATTAAATGATTAAAAAAATATAACTGTAATTAGTAGTACATACAGAATTGTGTGTTGCATATAACAGAAATATTTGCCAACAATATAAGTCTTTACTACAACTTATCAATTTAACATGTCCTTGCTAAATAAAAGTATTTCCTTCATTTGTTATTATTGTTACAAAAGATTTCTATTTTAAATAAATGTTCTTGTTAACTATTTATTCATCAAAGAATCCTGAAAAAGTACCACAAGTTCAAAAAACATTATTAGGCAGCAAAACTGCTTCGAACATTGATAATAAATCAGCATATTTAGAATGATTTTTGAAGGATCACGTGGCACTGAAGCCTGGAGTAATGATGCTGAAAATTCAGCTTCGACTCACAAGAATAAATTATAGTTTAAAATATATTAAAATAGAAAACATTTATTTTAAATTGTAATATTATTTCACAATATTACTGTTTTTCTGTATTTTTGATCAAGCAAATACAGCCTTGATGAGCATAAAAATCTTCTTTAAAAAACACTGATCTTACTTATAACATCAATATAGACACACACACACAAACACATATATATATATATATATATAAATATATATATATAACATTAATATCTTGTGTATTTACCTGGTGGCTGTGTACTGTAGTCGATGATGCGTTGTTGGCCTTGGGCCAGATCAGGGTTACTGGATGAGAGATTTCCACTAACTGCCATAGTGGGCGGAGTCGGTTTGTTCTGCCGTAATCCCACAATGCTGTCATCCTGAGTTTGTCCTAACCCGAGGTCACTACACAACAGAAGCACAATGACTCAGCATGACTCGGTAGGAGGTCAACATTAAATCAGAATCTACCACACAAGTCAAAAGGAGTGGATGTGAGATAATGCTAAAACCCCCTTCCGTTTATGAACATATCATTAACATGGCAAAGATCCGTACAGATGTCTTTTCTTCTTCAGTGTTTCAAGTCAGCAAAAATGTGAGTCTGTGTGCTTGTATACCTGTAAGGTTTCTGAGGTAGGATGCTCATGCGTGTCTTGTCTAAAATCTTCATGAGTTTGTTTCGGCCGCCCATTGTATGTGCTTTGACCTTCTTGCTGACTTTTTCTTGACCCATTACATCAGAATCAGCCCCAAGTTCAGGTACAGAATAACGGCTATTTTTCTTTCCGTCACCAATCTTTGGAAGATGAGGAATGCCGTTTTTCCTTTCCTCTGCCACCCTGGCCACCAACTCCTTGAAGACTGAGAAGAGTGAAAGTGAGTAAAGCATAAGAAAATAATAAGAGATATTTATCACCAGCCTGTGTGTATTGGAAGGCGTAGCCTGGTGGGAATCCTACCCAGGAGGTTAGTTTTCACACTCATACAGAGCTGTGTGTTGTTCCTGAGGATTTCAACTGCTTTGGACAACTGCACATTCTCGAACGTCTGCCCGTTCACCTCTAACATCTGCACGAGTGTGAAAAAGATGAAATAAGACAAAAAATTAAAAAATTGTTAAAGAATATGCTTCATTGTCTCAACACTGCTTCATAATGGTGATCATCAATGGAAAGGTGTTACCTGGTCTCCACGTTTAAGCCCCGCCTCTTCTGCTTTGCTACCAACTTCCACGCTGCTGATAAAGAGGCGCGTTCCTCGTTCAGCTCCTCCAATGAGTGTGAAGGGGAGGGGCATCTCTCGAGTAGGCCTATTTATAGTAATCACTCTGGGTTTGGCTTTAGCAGCAGAAGCTATGCTAAGTAACCGCAACTGACCTGTCATTTTCTGTTTGGATAAATAGAGGAAGTTAATAAGCATGCCTGTCTGATAATGTGACGACTAAATATGCATTAAAGTGACACTTGCATGCAGTTCATACCTCTCTTTCCAGATTGCTCTGGAACTCCTCCAAAAAACTGGTCATATCAGGATCTCCTTCAAAGTCACTGAAGTGATTGTTAACCCATAACAACACAACTCGGGTTACCTGATTAGAGGAGAGAGAGAGAAGAACTTTGAGTCCCGTCCAGCTGAAGATTTATGTGTGTTGCTTTAGAAAAGGTTGAGTCAGTCATACTACCTTATCCCGTAAACTGGAGTCATTAAACCAGTCCAGAAGTCTCTGCCCCAAAATCAAAGGACTGGGCAGGAAGGTACGATAGGTCAACAGGAAGTCCTCAATATATGTGGGGTCGACAACTAAATGGTCCTCCACTAAGTGCTGCATCAGCCTCTCAGCAGTACCCTAAAAAGTGTACATCAGAGTTTTCTTTTAAAGGGGACATCGGATGCAAAATTCAGCGGATTAGTTTTTTTTTTTTTATGGTAACGCACCACTGAATACATAAAAAAATGGAAGAGAGGGGTAGGGTGAGCTCACTATCATTTAAAGAGACATGCACCAAAACAGAGCTGTTTTTGACAAGGTCAAAAGGGTGTTTCACACGACCATTGAGGGGTTTCAACCAGAGTATGTTGCAGACATTTCATGAAGACCCTAAAGAATCATACCAACTTGTGGAAAATGGGCATCCGATATCCCTTTAAATTATCAGATTTAAAGATCTTTTTTCTTTTCTGGTAAAACAAGGTACAAAAACACACATTTTTAATCAATAAATTTATTCAGGTTTATTAATTGGTTAAATCGCCTGGCGAAGTAAATAAACCATACATTACTCTTCGGTAAGATTTTTTTATGTTTTTGAAAGACGTTTCTTATGCTCCCCAAAACTGCATTTATTTGATCAAAAATACAGTAAAAACTGTAATATTGTGAAATAGTACAATTTAAAATAACTGTTTTGTATTTAAAATGTCATTTATTCCTGTGATGGCAGCAATTTTCAGCATCATCATTCCAGTCCTCAGTGTCACATGATCCTTCAGAAATCATTCTTAATATGATGACTTGCTGATTTGCAATTATCACAATTGAAAACAATTGTGCTGTTTATATTTTTTGTTAACCGTGACATTTTGTTCAGGATTCTTTGATGGATAGAAAGTTCAAAAGAACAGCATTTATTTGAAAGTTAGTAAAAGAAATTGCATCCTCAATTTCTAAAAAGAAAAACAAATGCCATCAAACTCTATGTGAGGGGGAAAAAAACTGATCTTTCAATCCACAGAATGTGAAGGGGATGTTCAATTGTTTATTCTCAAAGGGTATGTTGTACTACTACTGTGTGCTATTATATTCACATAACATAGAAAGTCAAGAGATTAAAATATACCAGATTCATCGACTTCAAAACTGAAATCTGATTTCTCAGTGGAGTGCTTTTTCAAGTCAGATTTTTCCAAAAGACAGTAATACCTTGACAACAATGTGTCCCTTGCGGGTGCCCGTCCGGTCGAGTTCTCGGTGTTCTTTTACCATGACGATTTCTCCTTCCTCCTCTACTCGCTGTGTGTTCTGCTCAACCTGATTCAGAATGGAGCAGTAGTCCTGCTGCGCAATACACACAAACTACACACACACACACACACACATAATAACGTTAACTGGTGTTTTTTTTGTCTCATCATTTTATGCACAATTTGCATTACAAATAACTAAAATACTTGAAAATATAGATTCCGTTTATTGACAAATTAGCTATTGGATGATTAGTGCACAATCATTCCCATTCATCCTCTTACCTGACAATCATCCACTTTGGTCCTCATGACTCCAGTCATCAGCTGTTTCTCCATAGAAGGGGAGACACCAAAACTTCCACCCATACACACACTCTCACTGCCGCCACCTGGATAGATCACCTCTACTGCTCCATTCAGAATGACTGACCATGAGTCCAGCTAAAAAAAAAAAAACACACACATTTGCCTGTTATCAGCTGAACACAAATGAAGAGATGAACACAGATGAAATGCTGCAACGGGTCCCATCTAACCTCTTCACCATGGTTGAGTACGATGGTTCTGGCCCGTTCCACGACCGCAAACACCATGACGGCACAGAGTTCCCTCCGCACCGAAACACTCAGACTGGCAAATGCCGGAAGCTGCTGCACAAACTCCAGCAACTGCTCTGTACAAAGAAAGAGAACGTAAAAGTGAAAGCGTAAATGAAAGTAAAAATTAAAGTAGCATCATTGAACACATTAAAGAACAAAAGTGTACCAATGTCATCATCTGTACGGTCCATAGGATCTTTCTCCAGACAGTCTCTCACAATATCTCGACTCATAAGAGGGTCCGTTCCCCTCCCTACGTCTTCATCATCATCATCCTCGTCCGTGTCCACTGCTGTTTCAGGAAGCCCACTCAGATCCATGTCTCCAGATTCACTTTCAGTGGCCTGTGAAAGAAAACATGCGAGTTCAAAATGGGTTTCTTCACAAATTTTCAGCTGATGATGTTCATAGACATTTGCAGCTGACATATGATTTGCAGCCTTTGTGACCCGCATTTACAAATAAACAAAGCAAAACACATGAATATGAGCGTGTGTGTTGGCACTCTTGAGCCGGCTGTGTTTGTACATGCTGTGGATGTTTGTGTATGCATGTGTAACGCTGATCTGTGGATCAAAAGCTGTGCGCGCTTGAGGACTGACATGAATAGGTTATGGAGAGGTGACAGATGGACCACAGAGGAGGGTGGGGGGGACAGGATTTAAATGTGTGCGAATCCCAGATGTTCACAATAAATCTCTGTCAGGATGCGCTTCTGTTGTGGAGTGTGTAAGGAGATTGCTTTCTGAAATAACCTCAGAGTGTCTCTCATCACCTGGTAAATATCTGATAGGCTGCTACTTCCTGAATCACTGGCGATGCTGGAACGGGATTGGCTGGAAGTCATATGGGAGTGGCAACTGTCAGAGGGGTGAAGCTTTGAGAAGTCGGCAGGAAGCTGCAAGAGATACATATACCATTACAAAAAGACTGATAAATAAACAAATGTGTGTGTGTGTGTGTGTCTGACCCTGGACCACAAAAGCAGACTTCAAAAATCATGAGGATATTAAGTTCCATGAAGATATTTTGTAAATTTCCTACCGTAAATATATCAAAACTTAATTTTTGATTAGCAATATGCATTGCTAAGAACTTCATTTGGACAACATTAAAGGCGATTTTCTCAGTATTTAGATTTTTTTTGCACCCTCCAGATTTTCAAATAGTTCCATCTCTGCCAAATATTGTCCTATCCTAACAAACCATACATCAATAAAAAGCTTATTTATTCAGCTTTCAGATGATATATAAATCTCAATTTAAAAAAATTGCCCCTTATGACTGGTTTTGTGGTCCAGGGTCACATATATGTATAAATTGGTCTACAGTTCATGTAAATTGTCCTGCAGTGACAAATTAATTTTTAAAAGTACAAATATTCCATGTAGACTTCAATTAATATTATTAAAATGAATATGATTATGATTATACTGACTGTTTAATACAGTTTTAGCAGGAGTGTTGCATGTCACATTACAAGACACTGCTGTCATTGCCTCAAATGTCATGTTATATACAGAAAAATACAACAATTCTTCCCTGACACAAGCTTGTGATCATTTGTGCAAACATGGCTTTTTTTCCCTTCTAGTTCATCAGGAAACCAAGGATTAATTTTAAACCCTGTGTGAGTGTCAGCACAATTATTCTTTAGTGGAATGGATGATGTGTTCTCACACACACACAAGTTCAGCTGAATGGTGGCATTTTAAATTAAACTTGAATTTAATTATCCATCTACTCTGATTGGTTGATAAAAATAAACACAAAATGAAGTATTATTGCTAGCAGTTTGGCACATACCTACCCTTTCCAGGCTTGGCAATTACCACAATTCATTGATACAAACAAACACACAGCACCACAAAAAGGTCAAAAAAAGTAAACTAATGTATGGAATAATGACTGAAGCTTTCATCAATTTATATAAAGATTAGACATGCTAGCACACACATCAACATCCTACTGTACAGCATACCCGGAGGCTTGCTACAGTAAAGTTGATGGGTTCATGTACTGATGTCCTAGATCAGATGGCCTACATACAGTGACCCTACAACAAAATCACATGTCGAATATACTCACGCAACTCAAACTCAATAGCTACATGACATGTATTAAATATCAATGGCAAGAAAAAAACTGCAAAAACATCTTTTAAAAAAGTACAAATCAAATCAAATATTAAATTGCATAACATAACCAGAAACTAAATTACGCAGATGTGAATAGAACCACTGAAAAATAAATCATCAATTTTAAATTAAATTTAGATTGCACAACGAAACCAGAAACAAAAATATGTAGCTCAATAACTTAATTGAATTCATTTAATTCAATTCAAATTTAATTATAAATGTAACAAAAATTATGCACATCATTTACATAATTGTACATAAATGCAATAATTTAAATTATCTGCCCAACTCAGAATATTTGTGTTCACTTAGAAATTGCATATTCAAAATAATACTTGTTCTGCTTGGCTACTGTCAATGCCAAAACTCAGTCCGCTCATTACATTCAACTGCTCCCTAATACTTTATAAAATGAAGAATGCATAGCTAAACAAAGAATGCATGCACATCATGTTTATTTACAATTAACTAATGCATGCTTTTGTTTAGCCTTTTGTTGCAAAATAATTGTGCATGTTGTCCACAGGCTTTTGAGAGAGAGAGAGAGAGAGAGAGAGAGAGAGAGAGAGAGAGAGAGATACTCACAGTCCTGGTCTCCTGTCCCCTGACTCCATAGCCATGAGTCCGGACTAGCTGTCTCATAGCCTGCAATACTGAATGCCCAACCATCGTGTGTGCTAACCTCTAAACCATCTTCAGCCTCTTTCTGTACCACACTGTTCTAACCGCACCTATTTGATCTTCGAATCTCTTTCTCCCCAAAGCACTCTCTCAGAGACAGCATCCCTCTCTACTGTAATCTGCCCATCACCACAGTAACAGACAGCACTCTGGCAGAGGGATGTTTCTGCAGAGACAATTTTCATCAGACCCTGCCCCTCTGTCCCATTCACACACACACACCCCCCAATGTGAGATCATGGGATTATCAAGAGGCTGGTATTGTTTAAGCGGAGGGGGGCGGGGGATGGTTGACACCCACTGCCCTACTAAACCAGTCACCAGGGTCAAGCCTGCAATGATCGACAGCTCACTGAGCAATCAGGATGCCACATATGTGTCAAAATCCCGCCTTCCTGCTGTCGATCAGGTCCATGACAAGTCAGAGGATAATAAAAAACTCATGCAAAGAGACTAAACGCTCAAAGCGTCACAAGGGGGAAACTAAGAGTGATTGAAAAGAAGATAGGAAGCTTTTACCAGATTAGATTTGCCAAGAATGCAGCCAAGACTATAGCTCTGATCCAAAACCTAGTGATCTGCCTTACACGACAATAATGAACAAAAAATTCAGAAGTGTTTCCTTTGTATTTTTGAAAGGTTGTGTCTATGCTGGAACAATATTCAAACTTTAACACCTTTTGAGGGAATCAACCTATAAATAGTTTACTTAATTGCCATCTCTAAATCTAAAGCTGACAAGTGTTTCAACAAAAAAAAATACACAAAGCAGATTTGAAGATTATTATTCTATAGTATTAAAAGGTAAATTACCTGGGATTTGGAGCATTCCTGCAGCAAGACAAAATTAAAACACATTAATACACATTCCATGGGCTAATTTGAGGACAAAATACAGTGACACTTGACTTCACAATAGGGGTGGGCGATATGGCAAAAAAAAAAAAATCATATCACGATTTTTTTTCAGGAAAATCCCGATTCACGATTTTATCAATTCTTTTTCATGTTGGTTTTACTATTTTGCAAGTTGTCTGAGCAGTACAGCCAAACCAATTTCCCTATTTTAAAAACAAAGCCTTACAAGGTAACAAAATATAAAATAAAAAAGAATGGCAGATATTTAGGCCAAAGTGGGCGAAGATAAAAAAATCTTTGTTATTAAAAAATAAGAACAAAGATACAAATTTGAAATTAGCATAATATACTAATTAAAATATAATGCTTTATTCTTCAGGTAGTTAGCAGTAGCATTCAATAAATCGAACGAACAAATATAAAACACTATATCCACTTCACTTTATAAATTCAATATTGATTCTTATTAAAGAAACTGTATTAAGAGCAGTGAGTGATTTTTCTCTGTGTTTTGTTGTTTTATTAATATTAAAGGGACAGTTCACCCAAAAATGAAAATCCTGTCATCATTTACTCACTCTCAAGTTGTTTTAAACCTGAAAAAGTTTCTTTCTTCTGTTGAACACAAAAGTTATTTTGAAGAATGTGGGGAAACAAACAGTTTTTGGTCCCCAGTGACTAAAAACTGTTTGGTTACCCACATTCTTCAAAATAACTTTTGTGTTCAGCTCAAGAAAGAAATTAATACAGGTTTAGGACAACATGAGAGTGAGTATGACAGAATTTTCTTTTTTGGGTGAACTATGCCTTTAATGACAAGCCGCAGCATGTTCAGTACTATTAGTCTGCTGTCACTTTAAGAGCAGCATGCATCCGTTTCTCTCCCAACGGTTTACTTTCACTTTAGACATAACCAACTGTGTTTATATGTAAATCTTGTGTGTTTTTGACAGTATTAGCACAATCAGATGCAAAAGATAACTCATTCCAGTAATCAGGTGCAGTTTGACAGACTTTTTAGTGTGTGTATGCTTTAGGTGTACGCGCTCAGAAAAAGAGCATGTCAGAACAGCACGTGAATGAAATATTTAACCAGCAAGGCTTTTTATGCAAAAATTGCAAATAATGTACTTTTGTGATTGCGAAGTGCAATGTCCCGTGAGTGTAACTCTCCCGCTGAGTTAACATTTGATGTGAATGTACGTCGCGTTGTACAGTAAATTGAGACGGAGGAGCCAGAACTGCAACTGATAGAATGTGCGCTGCAGCATGATATTACGATATTTCTTTAAAAGCAAATTGTGGAGACATTTTAATCATCCACAATCAAAAATTGTGATATGGCACACCCCTACTTCACATAGTTAAATGTTAACGAACAAAACAAGATGAGTGATAAACTCATTTCTGTGTTAAAAATGCATACATTGATATTAAAATGAGAGTTAAGGTACAGTCACATTTAGCAATGTTTGGCAAATTTTTGTGAAAATAGTTGTTTTAATAGGATTCTATGTTTTTGGGATTTTTATATGAGATTGAAAGATTACCCCAGGCAGATTTCACAGCGGGTTCAAGTCACACAAACTCACCGCACTGACCAACAGAAAGCTGCTTGTTTAGAAAATGACTTCTGTGAGAGCTGTGCTTCATACATCACTACAAAATTACTTGCAAATTTCACTAATGTGACCGCACTTTAACAGCTGCAGCTATTTGGACACTCATAATGTGATCAAAATAGCTAATTTAAAATGATATACATGTCTGAACGGACCGAGTGGTATCCTGGTGGCAGAGGGGGCTTGCTGACTGGATAATGATCGACCGTATCAATTATAGTCTGTCGCTCTGTGAATGCATCTTGCACAATTTAGTAGTTCCCAAAACAAAGGGGCACCAATGGTTTTTTCAGGATTCTTTGAATAGAAAGTTCAAAAGACAGCTCTTCCTGAAAAGCACTGAATCTAACAGCCAAGCACCAAAACATGACTTTGTTTCCCAGATTGAAGCATGCCGGTCTGAGAAAGCCTTCGCCATGTTCGTGTGCAATACGAATTGGTGAAGGACTGTTGGTGGTCCTCGGGCATGCCATCTGAGGTTAAGACTGGTGGGTTTTAAACTATGCCGAGGAAAACCATATGAGCCTACATATTTTGCACAAAACAATTCTCAAGTGAAAAGAAGCACATGGCTGATTTAGTGTGTTTTGGAAAGCACAGACTTTGACAGCCTAGTAAATGCAGGCATTACAACACAGTGAAATTTACTGCAGATAATGGGAGGTTACAGTTAGAAAAATGGGGGGAAAACATGGGGAAAAAAGTACATAACTGATGGGGAATGTTCCAGATTTTGATGAGCTAGCATGACTTCACTTTTCCATAAGAAACGTTACTGTAAAAGATTTACTTGAACATTGAAGTATGAACTGAGAATCTTAAAGGAATGCACTGAACTTTCATAATTTCATATTCTGATTTTAGACTTTTTATATTAATTGCTCTTGGTTATTTGCTTTCTCCTGTCGCCATCTCTCTTACCTCATATCAGGGCTGGAGTGGGACTCATTTTCAGCCCTGGAGTTTCATGCCTTAGACCAGCCCACTTTGCTTTTGTTTTTTGCTTTTACTGGCCTTTTCAGTGCCGCCTTTGCACTTTCTATTATAAATTTTTTATCTATTATTTTTTGCTTGCATATCTCCAACAATTTTTTTTTTTTTTAAAGCAAGTTTCCACTGTCAGGGGAGTCAAAAGATAATTACGTCATCATTGCCAATTAACATAAGAAATGGAAAATAAGGGACAGACACAGACAGACACAGACACAGACACAGACACACATTACAACATCACACACACACACCAAAACACAACACTTCTATTTTAGTCCATTCTTACTATTATACTCCGAGTGGAGCAGTGACCTAACAACATACATGCCACGTTTGGGAAAGGAAACAAAAGTGATGAATCATACAAACGTGGGTGAATGCATCTTGCACAATTTAGTAGTTCCCAAAACAAAGGGGCACCAATGGTTTTTTCAGGATTCTTTGAATAGAAAGTTCAAAAGACAGCTCTTCCTGAAAAGCACTGAATCTAACAGCCAAGCACCAAAACATGACTTTGTTTCCCAGATTGAAGCATGCCGGTCTGAGAAAGCCTTCGCCATGTTCGTGTGCAATACGAATTGGTGAAGGACTGTTGGTGGTCCTCGGGCATGCCATCTGAGGTTAAGACTGGTGGGTTTTAAACTATGCCGAGGAAAACCATATGAGCCTACATATTTTGCACAAAACAATTCTCAAGTGAAAAGAAGCACATGGCTGATTTAGTGTGTTTTGGAAAGCACAGACTTTGACAGCCTAGTAAATGCAGGCATTACAACACAGTGAAATTTACTGCAGATAATGGGAGGTTACAGTTAGAAAAATGGGGGGAAAACATGGGGAAAAAAGTACATAACTGATGGGGAATGTTCCAGATTTTGATGAGCTAGCATGACTTCACTTTTCCATAAGAAACGTTACTGTAAAAGATTTACTTGAACATTGAAGTATGAACTGAGAATCTTAAAGGAATGCACTGAACTTTCATAATTTCATATTCTGATTTTAGACTTTTTATATTAATTGCTCTTGGTTATTTGCTTTCTCCTGTCGCCATCTCTCTTACCTCATATCAGGGCTGGAGTGGGACTCATTTTCAGCCCTGGAGTTTCATGCCTTAGACCAGCCCACTTTGCTTTTGTTTTTTGCTTTTACTGGCCTTTTCAGTGCCGCCTTTGCACTTTCTATTATAAATTTTTTATCTATTATTTTTTGCTTGCATATCTCCAACAATTTTTTTTTTTTTTAAAGCAAGTTTCCACTGTCAGGGGAGTCAAAAGATAATTACGTCATCATTGCCAATTAACATAAGAAATGGAAAATAAGGGACAATTGTAATTCTTTACCTTATTCTTTAAGAAAATAGTGTTTATTCTTGTAGAAAATAAGTGTTTATTCTTTAAGAAAATAAGGGACGTTCCAAATATTTGTACTGTACCATAATGTAGCTAGGCTTAAGTCTGCCTGGAGTTAAAAAGTTCTCAGAAATAATCACAATTGTTTTGCTTAACCTATTATTGTGCAATTATTCTAAAAATAATGTTAAATGTCATACAAAAAAATGTAATCAGCCTGAGTAAATTGTACCAATATAGAATTGTGACTTCACGCGTGTAATTGAACAGGTGAAAATACTGTGAAATTACAAATGTCATGAAATTTTAAAAAATCTAACAACTGAAGGTCTATGAAACGTCAGTCAATCAAGCATTTTTTTTTAAACAATGGCACTTAAAAGTTTTGATCTAAAATATTATTGCAACTACAGCCTTTGAATGAATGAAAATGCATATTTTTCAATTAAAGAAAACTTAAGAGAGTGTGGGCCGCTTCTGGTGCTTGGATTTTTACTTCAATAATGAGGTCCAAGTTTAAGAATATCCTACGCAAGAAGTATTTATTTTATTATTATATATTTTTTTTGTAATGCATTTTTCCCCCTCTCTATTTAACAGCATTAACTTACAATGAAAGACGTCTTCCCTAGATTAAATGTTTTCCTGCCGTGCTGGATGTTGGGCTCATGATCAATAAATTGTTTGCATTCACCCAAACTGATTTTGTAAAATAAAAAAGTGGACGTTGACGGGTGCAGTTAGCGCGAGTTCCGCTAAACTAAACTCGGATTCAATACAAATAAGACTCTATCAACAGCATTTTAGGTGCAATGTTCACAGAAAATAAAAGTAAATGTAGTGTAAAATATCATGCTTGCATTTTTCTTAAAATCACAAAATAAGTTTATTATAGAGATGTAAATCTGTCTAAATCATCCTTTATCAGGTGAGAATACTTTCCTAGGTGGATGAATTTATGGTTACGTGTTATGGATGTAATGTCATAAAGTGCATATAAAGAGTCCCTTTCTGGCACACTAACAGTTTAACAAAGTTACTTCGCCATGACAATGAAGTCAAAAGTTTGGATATAACAAACTTTACACAGCCAAGATCAACGAATGATTTTTATCACAGTCTCGTGCCAACATGTCCTGTGGTTATACTTCTGAAACGGTGTGTATTTTAATCTTTATTGCCTGGCTCCATGTGCTTAGTGTAACTGCTTTTTATACTTTTTAAAATATTTTCTGTGGTAATAGATATTGTCACTAATACTGCTGATGAGCTTAACTTCTAATAAATCTGGAACATTCCTTTAATTGTATCAGCAGTAACCCAAGCAAACAGGGGGTCTTGAACATAATGTTTCATTTTAACAAGCAGAGTGTGTGTCTATATTCAACAAGCCTTTAGAAGCTTAACTGAGCACTAGACAGATGTCGGTGTGTGTTTGTGTCTGAGATAGAGAGAGATGGAGAGCGAGCAGATGCGTGTGTGTGCGCATAAAATCATCATTGTGAGTTTAATGTAAACCTCTGACAAACTGACCTAGATAGAGATACATTTTCTCACAGCCTTTGTGAGAGTGTATTGAGTGCGTGTGTGTTTGGATACTCACTAGTATAAAACCTCATTAGCTTCATGCTGTTCATATCGAACTGTCTCACACATCAACCTGCAGGTGAAATAAACAGTGTTGAGCACATTCCTTCTGTAATGTAGTAATGAAAGTCCCCTCACGCACACACACTGTGGTCTCGTACCTGAGCTGGTGTTCCCTCAAGTTGGACAGCGCTTCCATGCCATGGAGGTACGAGTACAAGATCTGCAGATCCTGCAAAACAGAGACGTAGAAGGTCACATATTACATTGATGCCACTTCACTACCGAAAACATCACATTTAGCTCTGTGCCACATTTTGCATGCAACCGTTTGCGGTTAGCAAATGATTTCTTATTTAGCATTCCTTAAAATGATGTCACCCAAAAAGTCATTTGGACCTTTTCCAGAGCCTAAATAATCTCATTCCAGATTTCCTAACTTTTTATACAAGATTTTATTATTGGCTGCATATGTCAAGCTCAACAATTCAACCAATAATACTAAAGCTATTGCAAGAAAAGAAGAAAAAACTAAATACATTGGCATGCATCAATAGCTAAAACGCAATGTGTTAAAGATGTTTTTTAGTTCAGCATTTTCCATAATTAATTTGTTTATTCTATTTTCAATGATGGAAAAATAAATCTGCATTTAGACACGTCTCACATTTTATAAACATGGAAAAAAAAAAAAAAAAAAAATGTAGTTATAGTTCAGTTTAGCTGTAGAAATTTTAAGAAGGCTAAGCACCTTTTTTACCAGCAATTTATTGGGAAAAGAAGCGGGGGAAAAAAAAGTTTTATGCCAATGCAGCAATAAATAAGAAAATTTATTTTTTTAAGGACACAGATTTCCCTGATTAAGCGGCTTTTTCCCCCCTCACAAGACATTTAAAAACTGCCTGTAATTACACAAAAGCACCAGTAGGAGGTGCCCCATATATAGGAATATATACACAAATAATAAATACACACCTTTACCAAACACACTGCACACATAACCCTCCTTAATGACTATTTAATTCCGCCCATCAAGAGTTACGCAGTTAGCATTTAACAAGAATGGAATGTTTGCAGATACTCAATCATTCACTCCTTCACTTTCAGGTCTCTTTTTTCTGACTTCTGTTTTTCCCTCTCTACTCCTTGTCATTATTCGGTTTCTCTTTTGATACAAGATAAAAGATAATATGGATGTGTCTCATGACCTAGCAAGTGCCTACCTCTTTGGGCATCTTATAGTAACTTGTTAGACATTCACAAAACATAAATAAATATTTTTAAAGCTAGTTACCTGAATAGCACCACTTTTGGTTTAATGGCAAATACATTAAAAGTTGTTGATGTTTGTTACTGTCACAGTAATGGAATGTTAAGTATACAACAGGAATGTGTGCTTGCAACATATTCATTTTGTGTGTTTGTCTATGGATGTTTTTGTAAGCAAATTACCGATTACGAAAATCTGGTGAGAGAAATCATTTCATGGTCAAAGATTGTTCTGTTAATGCAGAATAACAATCAAGTCTTACAATGAGATTATATGAACCTATTATGCAAGGGCATATCAAATATCAGAAAGAGGAAAGAGCTACACAGCAGATATAACCACATTAATGCTAATTTAGAAACCATTTATTCACACTTCTGCAATGCGAGAAAGCAGCGAGACGGAAAAACCTCAAGCCAAGTGCAAGCACCTTCAACTCAATGTGGGACGATATCTCAAAATGACCCAAAACAATTTGCATCACAGTAACTAAAAAGTGACTAAAAACCTGTGAAAAAATTTATTTTGATTTACTAACATGTTAGCTTTAAAAGTATTTAGTCAGCCACCAATTGTGCAAGTTCTCCCACTTAAAAAGATGAGAGAGGCCTGTAATTTTCATCATAGGTATACCTCAACTATGAGAGACAAAATGAGAAAAAAAATCCAGAAAATCACATTGTAGGATTTTTAAAGAATTAATTGGTAAATTCCTCGGTAAAATAAGTATTTGGTCACCTACAAACAAGCAAGATTTCTGGCTCTCACAGACCTGTAACTTCTTCTTTAAGAGGCTCCTCTGTCCTCCACTCGTTACCTGTATTAATGGCATCTGTTTGAACTCGTTATCAGTATAAAAGACACCTGTCTATATATATAGAAGCATGAAAATGTACAAGAATTTCAGATATTTTATAAAGTAATTTTACATCACAATCTTTCATTATTTTTAATGTGTCAAAATTCTGAAACTGCTTACTTCTAGGTTTAAATCACAGATTTTCAATGTGGTCTCAGGAGTTTGGATCTCCAAATCAGTATTTTTTTATGACTGAAAGGAGGAAAAACCAAAGTGAAGTATGGACTCACTCAGTCATTTATTTACTTTATAACAGTAAGTAAATATCGGTTCCGCATATCGGTTATCGGGCACATAAATATGCAAATAATTGGTATCGGTTATAAAAAAATCAATATCGGTCGATGACTAATTATAATGTCAAAAACACACAAGGTTTACACAGTTGGTTTTGTCTAAAGTGAAAGTAAACAGTTGAGAGAAAAACAGATGCATGCAGCTCTTAAAGTGACAGCAGACTAATAGTACTGAACATGCTGCGGCTTGTCATTAAAGGCATAGTTCACCCAAAAATTTAAATTGTGTCATTTACTCACTCTCATGTTGTCCCAAACCTGTATTAATTTCTTTCTTGTGCTGAACAAAAAAATATATTTTGAAGAATGTGGGTAACCAAACAGTTGCTGGCCCCCATTGACTTTGATAGTAGGAAAATAAATACTAATGAAGTCACTGGGGACCAACAACTGTTTGGTTCCCCACATTCTTCAAAATATATTTTTTTGTTCAGCACAAGAAAGAAATTAATACAGGTTTGGGACAACATGAGAGTGAGTAAACGATGACATAATTTTCATTTCTGGGTGAACTGTACCTTTAATGATAATAAAACAACAAAACACAGAAAAATCTCTAACTGCTTTTGACCGAAGAACTTTAATACAGTATATGATATGATGTACAGTATATATATATATATATAGAGTGTTTTATCTTTATATTTGTTCATTCAATTTCTTGAATGCTACTGCTAAATACACCTACTGTAACTGAAAAATAAAGCACTGTTTGTTTTATTTGTATATTATGTGTATCTTAGTTCTTATTTTTTAATAACAAAGATAAAACAACCCTCTACGCACACCTTGGCAATTTAATCGCCATTGGCTAGTACATTTTTTAGTTTAGTCGCCAGACTGATATACAATTGTACACACACACAGACATTATTTTACCAAAACAGCTCATCTTTGTAAAATGGCACAGCTTCTTAAATCTTAGCTTCTTAATCAGTTAATCAAGCATTATATTATGATATTAGGATAATTAAGCACTATTTAATTATTATTAATTACGATAGAACTGTAGTGATTAGAACTAAAACTTGGTAACTGTGTATGAATGCTTATTTGTCATTTTAACTGAACATAGGACTGGTGCTGATGCTTAAGAAAAAAAAAATTGATAATAGCAATAGATAATAGTAATTATTAAAAAAAATACAACTACTACTACTACTACTACTACTACTACTACTACTATACAAAAAATATAAAACACACTAAGGATTAATGAGCCGCTGGGTTCATGAATATTAATCACGTTGTCAGCGTTCCCTCAAACTGATTTGCTGAAATCAAAACAGGGACGGTAAGAGATGAGCGCCAGCCAATGAGAATGTCGTTTGCGCATTAGCTCCGCCCACTACCAGAGAAATCGGCATATCGTCTTGTTTTTAAAAGCTGAATAATTCCAAATGAATTTCGTTATTTTGACAGGAAAATACAACAAAGAATATAGTTTAGATGTAGCTCGTCGATTCAGCGTGGTATGCAAGACTCTCGCTCGGTCTCTTTGCATGTGTGAGAAACAGCGCTATCAGCAAAGCGGCGGCGAGTCGTGCACATTCACACTAGAGTTTACGTTGCGTCAAATACAGCTACGCTGCGCATCCATTGAGATTAATTGAAAATGTAGATTGCTTGATGGAAAGCGAAACTCTGAAGCGCTCAGTCAGAGTGTTCAGCGAGTGAAAATATATTTGTGCTAAACTTACACTTAGCCTCTAACCCACACACTGGCGAGTAAAATCTAAGAATTTATTAGCCAATGGCTAACGATAACACATCATTTAGTCACATATGCGAGCGATTTACTCGCAATGTAGAGGGTTGTAAATACTTTGGCCTAAATATCAGCCATTCTTTTATATTTTGTTTCCTTGTTAGACTTTGTTTTTAAAATGGGGAAAAGTTTGGCTGTACTGCTCAGACAACTTGCAAAATAGTAAAAACAACATGACAGTACCGTGATAAAATCGTGAATTTCCTGATTTTTTTTTTTATATATGTTTGCCATATTGCTCACCCCTAATCTGTACCATCAGCTCTCCACAGTGAACTCACTCAAACGGGACATCAGAGGCGTCATCTTTTCTTTCTCTCCTCCCTGACATTCCAACAACCTTTCTCATGGTCTTTGACACCCTTCCAACCCATCTCTCATCTACACTTACTACAGTCAAATGAAACTAAATTCAAACTGCCCAATGGGTTCCAGTCAGGAGTGTTGTGCTGTGGCCTGCAATTGGTTGATTTGAGTAGAAGGGCAGGAATGTTTATTCTTGGACTATGGCATTTCCTCTTTGAGAGACAGACACGCACATAGAGTTCTGATTATGGCAACGGACTGAGACCTCCGAGTCAAGAGACCAAGGTCACATTTCAGTTGGTTGTGGAAGACCTGGCCACTGAATTAAATTAATAAAATCTGGAAAATACTTACTTGCACACACGTTGGCATGACCCTTCAAGCTAATTATGTTGGTGTAACAGTTGCAGATTAATAAAATACCAACAAATTAAATAGCAAAACATTTTTAACTGCATTGTTTACTTCCATTCTATCAAAGTTTGGCATCAGAAGTTTCAAATCCGTAAACTAGCCCTATATGATCTCTGACTAAATCTGAAAATCACCCAATGCAAACAGGGTTTGTCCACTTTTAGACAACTCAATTTTCACAATTTTTTCGAATTGTTTGGGATAACTGGATCATTCAAATTCAAACTAATTCAAATTAATTTAAATCAGATTCAGATAAATTATTTAGACCGATCTAAGAATCAGTTTAATCATTTATTGAATAAAAATCAACTCAAAC